TTTACTCCTTCCACAGTCACACGCTGCGTTTAACATTAATACCCCTTTAAACTCAGATCATTTATCGACAGATGGATAGCCCTGTTTATGTCGCCGATAACGCATCAGGCTTCTGTCTTGAAGCTACCACTCACGTAGCGCCGAATATTTGCGATACTGAGGACCACAGAACCGTCGACACTATAGTTCAATATCTCCTACGCGAAGTACCGGAGTTCCGACGACTGTCTGGCCTTAGAGAAAAGGTCAGAATGCATTTTCTTCCCTTCTCAAGTACTTTGGGCTGATTAGCTTTATAGGGCTGGCAAAATCCCAAGGGCGACCTCTTTTTCGAAAAGCAGCGCCAGGATGCTGATCATGCCGATAAGAAGACAGCCAAATACTTCTATAAAATGATGAAAGATATAGGACACGATATGCATCAACTTACTGGCGTCTTTCGAGTGGGAACTGCTGGCCCAGATCCCCCATGCATTCTGGATATGTGCATGGCACCAGGAGGGCTTCTTGCAACAGCATTGAGAGTCAACCCTGGCGCCCAAGCTGCGGGATTCAGTTTGCCGAGGCGCAAAGGAGGGCATGAAGTCCTTCTATCCGATCGATCTAGATTATCACTTAAATTCCTTGATATCACTCTGTTGGCTGCAGATATGGGGAAACTTGAGATCCCAACTGATCACCCGGATGCTGCAAACTTTTTACCTCGTCAGCTCGCAACAGGGCAACGGTTTGATCTTGTCATATGTGATGGTCAGGTACTTCGAAATCATGAAAGGGAAACATACCGTGAGAACCGAGAGGCGAGCAGATTGGCATTGACACAGCTGGCACTTGGACTGGAGCACCTTAAGCCGGGAGGATCGCTTATTGTTCTTCTGCATAAGGTAGAAGCCCTGAACACTGTACGGCTGATATATACCTTTGCCTCCTTCTCTTCTGTGAGGCTGTATAAGCATATCAGATTTCATGCCAAAAGGTCTTCATTCTACTTGCTGGCGACAAATGTCCGAAGTGACTGTGAACAGGCAGCTTTGGCCGTCAAAGAGTGGAAGGAAATTTGGGATATTGCGACTTTTGGAACAGATGAGATGTATCGTCAAGCACGGCAAGAGCGTGGGCTACATCCTAATCTCATTGTGCAGGCGTTTGGCCCTAGATTAGCCATGATGGGCAGGCATGTTTGGGAAATCCAAGCAGATGCGTTAGCAAAGGCTCCTTTTCTGAAATAGGGCATTTCTTGATGGGGTAAGGTTCATCGCACCCCCTTGGAAAACAAGCGCAGCATCATTCAGTTGGGTAATAGTGACCGGGGCAAAGAGTTCCTCAGATTTAGAAGCCCGGATCGGCCTCGCTAAGGATGCATCAATCCCGAAGAATAGTGAGATGACTCCTCGGAGTTTGCGGGATTCATGATCTGCTATGGCTACAAAACCAAGCTCGGGCAATTTGTTGACACAGTATACCCAGAGTCTGAAAGATGCGTTCATCTATTAAAGAAAAGACGAGCTAATTATTACTATGTAATTAATCATCGTCTGCTGTTAATACTGAAGGATACTGAAATTGAAGTCCGGATAGATCTGCTAACTGGCAGATCCATACAAGGCAGGTGTGACGGATATATAAACGTGAGTTTAAAGGGAACTCGTAGAAGAACGACCATAACTATGAAATCATCTGTTATTTGAAACAAAATCCAAATCCACAGCTTCAAAGCATATCCGCAAAGTAGCACAAACATGGAATTGATGTCAGGCTCCCATCAGATCAGCTGTGTTGTGTTGAAGAGCCTGTGTCCTGTATCTGTCGCCCCCCTTCCCGTATATCTGTTTTCTGATAGACGAAGAGCAACGAGTTCGATCTTTTGATTGCGCGCGAATGAGTGAAGGGGGCTGCGGGGGGCTATAGCATGCTTCTGAACCACACCAGCCAATATCACAATCCGTATGGTCCCATGGATCTTACGGATATGACGTGCCATTTGCAACACAGTCTTCCCAGTATTGATGACAGAATCCACAAGAATCGCCGCAGTTCTGTCATGTATATGTTCATTCTCAATATCTGTCACACGGCTGGCATGGAGAAACATTGCGGCTGGAAATGCTTCACTGACCCCGAAAGCCATCGGTTCCCCTGCCCGCATCACAGCTATTATCACAGCTCTCGACTCCTGGAACAATTCAAATCCGTCGGTGCCATACCCCTGAACATGAGGTATTTGGATTTCCTGGAGGCCTAGTAGGTCGGCCAAGTGGGTTATTGACAAGTGGTATCCCACACGTCGATGCGCTGTCCGGAGGGCAGGGCCGCTAATTCTAGAGTCACGCATGGGTGTCGCTAACAACTTCGCCGTTTTCGTCTCAGTGCTGTGGAGCACAGGGAATTCAAAATTCACTGAGCTGATCAGTGTCTCCAGTCGAATGGTTGGGAGCCTTTCTGCGTCCAGCCGCAATGGTACCCCTTCGGGTAGGAGTAATTGACGTGCTCGCAGTAGGCCATTGTCGATCACAGTTCCCAGTTCAGTCTCCATTGACCGACTTCTTCTGCTAACGTCGCCAACAACAACAATAGCTTCATCGGCCTTGCCAAGCATATCTAGGTCTAGTGGACTGTCCCCAAAAGCCCAAACATATGCACAGTACACCTGCTTGAGATGGTCCACTATCGCAGCCTTCACACCCGGAGTGACGACGAACCCATCAGAGATCCGACCACCTCCGAGGATGACAAAACTTCCGAAGATTCTATTGTGCTCGAGTATCTTAGTCCAGATTGCACTTAGTCCGCAGGTGACAATTACTGCGCCGACATTATCTTTAAACTGGACATTTCGGAGCAGCGATAGCATTTCCGGATAAAGATTGACTGAAGTCGCCACGCGAGAGCATATTCGATCGAACTCGTCATGATCAAATGTCTGCTCATAAAGCAAAGAGACTTGACGGAATGCAGAGTATGAGTATCTCAACTGGCTGCTGAAAATTGCCTTCAGTGGCGTAGCACCGTTCTCCTGGGGAAGATGTGCCCGCCACAGTATTTCCCCGGTATCTTCGGCTGTCAAGGTTTTGTCCCCGTCCAAGACGAGAAATGTGTCAATCGTATCACCACAAGAAAGCCGCAAAGAAGTATCAAGACATTCCGTTGCGATGCTTAGATTTAGGCTTTCGTTGTCCTCGTTGAAGTTGATCAATAAATTCTTTATATCAACGACTTTGCTGGGTGAGGCGAGGAAAAACCGGATGCTGTGGTCATAACAAAGCTGGCGCAACGTTTCTTTTTCGGTCTCTAGCCATCGGTGCAGTATTTGAACGGGCAACTCTGGTCTGGCTCTTTCAGTATCCTGCTGGCGCCGCTGCCACACCATGTCGGCGGGGTTATCCAAATACAGTATATGCGTGAAAACCTCAAGGTCGGCCTCGGTGACGACTGATTCCAAAGTACCCTGCTCAGAGCAAAACATAAAATGCCCGGTAACCACGGCAGTCTTTCCAGTTTGGATTGCGTTTTGTCGGATACGTTCAATGGCATACTTCCGCCAGCGGGCTTTGTCTCCCTCCTGCAATGACCGGAAGACCTCAAGTCCACCAGGAACGACATTAGCAATGACAGCAGAGCCTTCATAATATTGAAATGAATCTTCGCCCAGTTCCCTTTTCAGTCGATTAAGTAAACATGATTTCCCTGCTCCGCATATTCCGTAGAGTCCTACCACCGTCGCTTGCTTCTGAGAGCCATCAAGCTTGCTGTCCTTACATGAAAAATGACAAGGGCTAGTCATTGTCAGTCAACGGAGGGTATACTGCTTGCCTTTGTAGAGCTGATGAATAACAAAAACCAAGAGGCAGAAATCCGGGAGCAATAAACTGATGGTTGCTTCTGAAGAAGGGTTTCAGCGGATTTGCGAAACGAGTGGAGAAAAGTGGTGCTATTTATATAGCTTGGGACTCTCTGCCAGGGGCCTAAGCAAGGCGGCATACATCATGCGTGACTTTCTCTCGATCCAACTAGAACGGCACGCCAGCTACTAGTGCACAGTCTACGAAACCAGGGAGGTTCGATCGGGAAGCCCCCCGTCCGTGGTCTACCCGGAAGAAAGGCTCTGGTCATATACAAGACAGTTTACCCGATCGTTGCGCTCGGTTCCAGTCGAAAGCAGGGTAGAATAGGATGGGAAACACAAGTCCGAGTTGATACGTTTTTTCTGTTCACGCAGTGGTATCCAAGCATATTGTAATACGAATGGTATATTTGCATCCTCCAGTTACTAGAAAAGACATTGTATTTCCTTTAACCGACCAACAGCCACTAGTTCGAACTCTCGCTCTCCTAATGCAGAGGGTCGTATCATGGGACCGGACATTTTTTGTAGGCAGCTGACCTCCTTTCCCAGCCGGCCTAGATTTTGAGGATCTAGAACTGTAATAAACCAAGCCGGTTTATTACTCGAGGCTATCAATTGATTCTTTTTCATGAGCATATATCGTAACTGCTTTTATCCTGCGTGAGTTGAATCATTGGGATGATTGACTGGCTGGATCGAGTCTTAAGATATATTTGAACGCTTTTCCCTGGCTTGCACTTAGGACACTTTGGAGTCTCTCCATCTTCTGCATTGCAAGCACCAAATTTCTTGTTTCATGCCAAAGGGGCCTCTGAGTGTAATTATCCCAAGGTCGATTCTTTTTGCTGGTATATTGATCTCATCACTGCAGGGTTATTACCACCGTTATTTTCACCGCGAGAGAGGGCGACTCACGATCACAAAAGTTATTGTACTGCATGAAATGGATCTTCCAGCATCACATTCTATCCAAAATCACCAATGTGAACTTCGCCAAATGAAAGAATGTGGAAAGTTCCGGTTAATCCATGCTCACGACATCACGAACGAGGGGATCCAATTGTGCTACGACCAACTCCCCCCTCGGCCGAAAGGACAAGGAGATGTGGATGTTCTCTATATTGTCGGGACCCTCAATCAGGGAAAGATATCCACAATGCGCAAAGATATGGATATGAAACTTTCGGCTATCAAGGAGAAAGCCCTCTCATTGGGCTGTGAATTGAATTTGAACCTCACTATCTTTCCGCTCGATGTTCCGTCTGGCGTCAGCTCCCAGCCCACTGGTGATACAGACGGAATTACTGGTGCCGCGGGCAAATGTGGGCGAATCGGCAACTGCGTCAAAGCAGCACAGCTGAGCATAAGTGGCATCCCAACACCCCCGGGCCTCTCCGACGCGGTGTTGCACGCTGATGTGCATGTATTCGGAGGGAATGAAGCTTCACCTGATACAGCATCTGCGGTGCCGTATGAACCAAATTACTTGGCATACTACTACGCCACGGAAGACAATCTAGTTGCAGATGACGATCGTTACGTTATAGGAAAATCCACGGGGCTAAGTATCTTTCTTCCTGCCGTCACAGAGGCATTGGCGCGCGGGGGTAACTGGACAGGGGGGAAAGTTCTCCAGGAATGGTTTCCCGATATTGTGAAAGATAATGCAGACTGGCACAGAGTTGTCGGCCCTGAAGGTACGAGCCGTTGGACGTGGATAGAAAAGGGCTATAGTGAAATGCCCCTCCCATTGATTTGGTTCCGTCGCTTTCTCCTTCGATGAAAAGCCCATGTTCCAAGCCTGAAGGCTACATGAGATGGTCACCACTGCTCTTGAATGTTAAGAGGGAATTTATGGTTAGTGCCCCGATAAACAACTTGTGACTTTGGATTTTGTAGCAGTGATGATTTTGGCTATCCTTTTTCTTCTTTTTCGGCTAGCTGGGGATCAAGCTGTAGAATGGATTCACTGGAATGAATTGATACCTGTTTTTGCATTAGATAAATTGTGGCTAAGTCCGAGGAACATGTCCAGACTCCGCCACTACTGTGATAGAATTGTCGGTAAGGTTAAATGAGATGATCGAAGCGACCTTTTGACGATAGGTTGCCCCTCAGCTGTGCACTCTACTTTATGCTATAGTATTTTACCCTTCACGGTAAGTCGGCATATCATGACCGATAAACTGTGAATAGGGTTAAAGAGCAGGCAGAAGGACAGGAAAGATTGCAATTTTGTAGAGAAATGCCAGTATTTTGGAAAGAATACATCACATTAGGGACTAGAACCAGAACTGCGTGCTAAAATAATATCATGAACTTTGTCTAAAGTGAGTCTGAGTGGCTCTGCGACCGCAACATTGAGCCCGACAACTCGCACCGAATCGAAATCCACATCCTTGATGCAACTTTTATTAGTGTTGAGGAAAACTGCCAGGGTCTGAATTGGAACCATCATCCGGCTTATCTCAAGTCGACAGAGATTGAACATGCTATATTGGAGCAGATTGAGAGGGAAACTGCTTCCACTTACATGCAGTATGCGGGCATCACGCAATAATCTTTCAAGAGATGATCTGAGGCCGGGCATACTCGGTGATAAGTAAGGGTTTTCGAGGCCGCATAGACGAATCCGATGGAGAGAAAGACCCTGATTACTCGCATGCTGAACTGCAATCTGAATGCATTCCACTTGATACTCAAGCATTCCCCAGTTGGTAGCCGTGCTTGTCGGGTCGTTGTGCAACTCAAAAGGAGTGCTCTTTGGTATCCGACTGAAGTCAACTGCTATGTCGGTCAAGCTTGACAGAGCAGCGAGAGCAGATGAGAGAATAGAAACCATTGTGTTGGTTTCGACGGGGTCGTTGTTTTGACTACGGCCCATCCCACCTAGAAGTATCTTAGCATTGGAATAAATCATGTTGTTCCATACGGCTGCTTCGTGATACATTGATTCGTAACCAAGCGTGGATTAATTACCAGACCATGAAAATTGGCAGACCCTTATATGTATGCAAGTGGCATATTCACATATCCCAGAGGTCATAAATTGCTGTAGCAGTTGCATTCCCACATACGAAAGATCGAATCCAACTTCGCGAAAAAGAGGCTTTAAACAAAACTGTCTCAATTTAGCATTGGTGGAAGACAGTTGCTTCACATCGCTAACTGGAAGGTCACGGATTATGATCGCGATGAGCTCAGGCGGAACGACGCACAAAGCCATTCTTGAGATAGCTGCTGAAGAACAGATACGACGGGGATAGAGAGGATCTTATTCCCTGCCATTGCCGAAGGATTGCACCTTTATGCATGGCCAAGCGCGAGTCTAGCGGGGTTTTGTGACGGAACCAATAAGGCCCCACTAAAATCATACAAGATACCTCGGGAGATCTTCTCTGGTTTTGGAGTTTACAAAACCGCGACCGTTTTACTTCCTAGCTGGGAATGGCTTCGTAAATATCATTCTGCACCTTCGTGCAAATGTTTTAATTAGAGTATATACATAATCGGAGTTGTGTTGTCCCACACAAGTTATTTTTGCCCCCTATACCGACATTCTGAAATACGAGGGGTGTTGACCACATTCGGGTTACGTGTAGAGATTTGGATGAGTGGAACACGTTGAGCGAGGCATTTTTAACCGCTCTTCAGGATCCGGGCTCCGATTCAGGACACTGCCAGGGACATGGTGGACATTGAGGACAGGGTAGATTTTATTAAGGCCTGTATAAAGTCAAACCTGGGTGATCAATTAACAAGGGGAACTGAAAGCTACAAGTTGCGTCTCACTTAGACCGGGTCCTCTCGAAGTAAGCTGTCAACTTTCCCTTCGGGACGCCCAGGATAAACGCCCAAAGGTAGCGCTTCATGAAAGCCACAATTTCCGCGTCCATTTGCGCCATCTTAGCATCACGACAGGCCTCGGAGCCGGAACCCGAACTGTCCAGACGACATTGAAGTTCTACTTCACCCACTGTATGACCAAAGTCCATGACATCCTGCACAATAGTAAACTTTTCGTCCGCTTGCCAGCTCTCGCGCAGCGTAGTAAAGGAGGCCATTGGTTGGAGTCCGAAATTTTGATGACCACTTGCCCGAATGCCGGTCAATTCTTCCAAGCGACGAGCAATGCTGACCGGGGAAGAAAGTTCCTCAAATTTGGAATTGATGTAATTACCGCCCCTCTTGATTTTTGCTTCCCAGTGATTATTCCTTTGGCGTACCCAGAGACCACAGGAAGAAAGCATATCTGCCTTGTCGTAATAGATATCGTGAATCTTTTGTTTGCCACAGTACTTCAGACTCCGAAACGGCGGTATCCCCCCATCAAGCATTAAATCTTTGACAGCAAGACGCTGGAACTTCCTCTCCACCTCAATGAGAGACATTTCAATACACCTCAGGCACCCGCGAACAATATTGCCGGGCGCTGTGTGTAAGGACTTCAAGAAGATCGGTCCGCCAGAGCGTGCGTTCTGAAACTGTATTAACGAGTGACTAGGATGGGTATCGCGTTAATGTCATAGTCAGTGGAAATCCGGGAAGCGAACAGAAAACAAGGGGTTGATAAATTTATACTAACAGACGACGCAAAAACGGAGATGATAGCTTTGGGAGGGAATAAGACCTTAGGTAGGGACGAAGGAATCGATGGCTTTGGAGTTTGGATGTTTACCTGTGCAGGGGTTTAGCGGAACCCGCCTTTCTAGAAGTCCGTATTACGTAAGCGACAGCAAAAAAATTCAACGTTGTAAGAGATGGCTACAGCTCATTTGACCTTCATAAAAGCTCAGGTGAGCCGAGTCCCATTCCATTGTACTCAAGATGTTAAATCTAGGTTTGAAGATATCCTGACTGGCCTCTTCATAGATGCTATAGACCGTTGCATATCTTTACGCTATGTGGAGCTCAGATCCACGGGCATTGTTTGTTACTTCCGCATTACTCTCCCTTGCCCCATTTCTTCCCAATAGACCAGTCGGTAATTTGGCATGGGATGCGTCGATGTAACCGTTGGTTTCGACCTGCCTAGAATTAGTTACAGTTTTCTAGCCGTATTGTGACATCTTCTTCGTCAATGATATTGCTCTTTCGCTATAACGTGAGAGGACTGAGGTCTCCATAGTGTAACGGTAACGGCTATCGAACGCGTCTTCGCCGTCGTTTCTTTCGGGTAGTTTGCGATTCAGAAATCGTTCATTGATGATTGCTTCTGGACAATTCAACAGAATTACTAGGTCTGGGGAGCCGATAGGTCTGGGGAGCCGATCTACACTTATTAAGATACAACGATAATATAGGTTCGAGTCAGTACTTCATGCTCCAGACGCGCTTCTTGATCTATACAACGACGCAGACCGTCAAGCAGAAGCCTCTCATTCTTTTTTCCGATACTCTCGATCTTGTTGCGGAAAACTTGTATCAGCTCGTTCACTGGAACGAGTGTGTTGTTTTGACAGTATCGACGGTTTTGGGTCCTAGAGAGCCAGTTCTGATTAGTTCTGGCCGCAAATCACCAACAGAGAGATGAAAAAGTCGTACTAAACTCCTGATCTGGCACATAAAGAACCCTTCCCTGCACCCGGAACGCCTGTATTTGATTTAATATGAGGATACAGTCACGGAGGAGGATTTGTGAAACCTACCAACAATGTATACAGGCGGAAAATCGTTGGTTTTCATCACTTTATGGGCACTCGCAAATAGGTTACTCTTCAACCAACGGGACACGGTGAATTCTTTGGTAACGACTTGCACAGCAGTCCAATGGCTTTACCACATGTCGCCAGTGTCAGAACTAGCACATATGTGTAGCTGTACATGGTAGAGCACGGGTGAGTATCCGTCCTCTGGTTGGTCCAATGGGACTGCAGCTACGGGACACAAACATACGTGGCAACCTTTTGCTGGCCACACAGACATGCTAGGTAAGCTGACCGTTGCCGCAATATTGGCTGATTTGGCGTGGAGGATGTTTATGCTCCGATTCGTCCATATCCTATTCGATTGCGAAGCCTTGGCCAGATACGATCCGCTATACGAAAGGAAACTCTACCTCCTTGATAGGCGTATGACATAGTGGCGCATTTCCGGTACATCCTTCCTGATGTTAAACACTGTGTTGGTAAGGGAGGCACACAAAGCGCAGTCCGGTTGGTTTACTGTGATTACGGGGACGACGAACCGCCTATCCTAATTTTCTTTGGCTACCTCCATTGCATTTGTAAACCCCGGACGCTGAAGCTTCTACTTAATATTGTCAAGGTGATTTATTAACCCTGAACTTTTGTCTCCTTCATCCTCTATATTTCCTATCAGTTCAGACTGTGTACGAGGCTAGCAAAGAACTGATCACGATCACAAAAAGTGGCCATTTCAAAAGTGATACATTAAAGTTGTTTTCAAAAAAGACCACAGGGCAGGCTGCTGACTTAAAGATAACAGGGGTGAGTAAGACAGCAGCGATTCTGCAGTTTGTGCAGCACATTCGTAAAATTCCTACTATAGCTTGATACATTCTGTTAAATGATAATACTAAATCCAGATCGCCAGAGCCCATTGCAAGCTGCTAATCATTCTCGGTGGTATCGCTCCAGAGATTTCGTTAAAGTTGCGTGGTATTAAACAGACGATTTCCAGTATCCGTGGCTCCCTTGCCGGTGAACTGATTGTCAGACAGACGAAGTGCGCAAATATGGAGTCTCTTGTATTGCGACAGCGACAGGGCAACATCACCCCCGGTGACACACCTGGATTGGATGACCCCAGCAACCACGACTATCTGTATTGTAGCATGAATTTTACGAATGTGCTGCACAAACTGCAGAATGGTCTGACCGGTATTCACGACGGAGTCGACCAGTAATACCGTGGTCTTCTCATGGACATGAACAGGTTCAATATCATTGGGATGATTCGCGTGGAGAAACATAGAAAGAGGGAAGGTATCACTGACACCATAAGCCATGGGTTCACCAGCGCGCATTATAGCCACGATCAATGTATCCTTTTCGTGAAAAAGCCGGTACCCGGTTATTTGATGACCTTGCACATGTTGGATCGGATGCTCCTCGAGACCGACAACATCGGGATCGCCCAGTAACTCTGTTGCCAGGTATCTTCCGGTGGCTCGATGGGCCTCTCTAAGATGAACACTGGAGATGCTTTTATCGCGCATCTGGGTCATCAGTAGCTTAGAGGCAGCCCTGTTCGTGGTATGTGTGACCTTGTTATGAACGGGTTGAAGTCCGCCAGGGATAAGCGATTCCAGAAAGTTTGCATCAGTGAGGTCTACTAACGGTAACTGTGTCGTGCTTAGTCGCGGTGAAGCTCCACGAGGCAGCAACGTTTGGCAGGCTTGCAACCCATCCACAATAGCCTCAGCAAGTGCCCCATCCATGGAACGGCTCCTCTGCCCTTCAACACCCGCGACAACTATGGCCCGGTTTGCCCTTTTCAACATCGGAATTTCAATTGGGCTGCCTGCAAATGCCACAACGAGCATGTGGTAAACGCCTCGCAGCTGGGAACATAAGCTCCCCTTGACTTCAGGAGTCAGGACGTATCCGTCCACAAGGCGGCCGCCACCAAGCACGGTTACAACGCCGGCAAGCCCTTCTCTTTCCATGACCTTGTCCCAAACAAGACGTGGACCGGATGTAACCACAGCTAGGAACACGTGGGCGTCTGCTGCTAGCCGTAGAAGACACAAAAATTCCGGGTGCATTTTGATACTTGACGCCACATTCTGGCAGAGACAATCGTACGTTTGCTCATTTATTTCCTCATAGAGCAAAGTGGCTTGGCGAAATGACTGGTATGAGTAGGCCCACGAACTGCTAAATAAAGCCTGCAGTGCGCTGTCTGATTCTGGTCCATCTGCAAGGCTCCAGAATAAGGCTCCGCTATCCTCCGCGGTCAGGGTCCTATCTGCGTCGATGACCCATGCCCCACGGAAGCTTTTTCTAGTCAATGCGATGGCCTCTTCTAGTGCCTTTCGTGCCTGTAAGAGATTGTATGCTGGCGTATGATAGCGAAAGTCTTTGAGGAAATCGGCAACCTTTTTCACCATAGATTTATCCGGTGCCAGAACCGAATAGTAAATACCATGACGCCGACAGAGTTGACGCAGCTCGGTAATTTCTGTGCTTTGCCACCTAGAAAGGTGCTCGACTGATACGGAAGGTTGTCCCCTATCGGTTTCTGTCAAATAGCGCCTCAGGAGATCTTCTGGGGCAACGTTCAAGTACAGTATGTGTGTAAAAATGTTGAAGTCAGTCGGCGTATGGGTGCGGATACCATCATCTTCGCCCTCGGTCCAGATCATGAAGTGGCCGGTCACCACCGGGGTTTCTCCACTCTCCAAGCATTGTTCTTTGATTTTTTTGATAGCCTGTGCGCGCCAGTGTAGTCTTTCAACCTCTTCCATTTTTTCAAATGTGTCAAGGCCGCCGGCGACCAAAGAAGCAATAACTTCGGAGCCTTCAAAAAATCTGAAGCCACCAGCACGCCCTAGTTCCAGCTTCAAATTATTTAATAAGTCGGACTTTCCGGAACCAGGAACTCCATAGAGGCCGATGATGACGTTTGTCTGGGATATATGAAGGCCCTCTAGGCCTCGTGAGTGGGTAAATGTGTGTTCAGGGACACCTGACATGATGGATTGCCTTCTTTCTCTTTCAAGAGAGATATATGATCCCCAATCTGAAGTGCAATACTTCAAATAGTTTCATTGTAGATGAAGCCATGAAGGAGAATAGAAGTACACCATTCTCTATCACCTGGGAAGGTTATGCGGTCTATATATTCTGTGGGAAACTACATGGAACATGTCTATGCTCCAGCTTTACACATAATTTCTTGGGTTTGTATCTAGTGGAGGGGAAGCAGCAGACTCAAGGGTGTCCTTGTAGTATAGAGAATTATGCATTCGTGGAAAACGAGGACCCAGGGTGCAACATTGGCTTTTGTTACACCATCCTATGGCATTTTATGGACGGGACATAGACGAGATTGACGTGATAATTGCGTCAGCCCGAATTTACATTGACATACGACGTAAGAAAAAAAAAGGCTTTTGCGTTATCCGTAGGATGTTAACTAACTCTCTAGACTTGCACTCCCTGACCGGGATGGCTGTAAACCCAGTATACCATCGACGAAGTCATGTCAGATGGGACAAGTACACAGGAGGCTGAACTTTTGGCTCGAATGAACGGGGCGCTGTTTCAAAAGCTCGCGCCCGAGATTCCAAGTCTGAAATATTGATTCAAGAAAACTGAGTTGGATTTATTGAGTTTGGTTTATCCTCCGAAGTTCTATGTGGCGCTACAGTAGTGATGAATTGTTGTTTTCTTTTCGGAAGACCTGATTGTTGACCGACAGCTTCGTGTAATATTTCAGGTTGCAGCACTGTACCCTCTCCGCAGGTGAAAACTTGTGGATAATGGCCAAGGGCATCTGCCGTAAACCTACGCTTTGGCAAGTAGTGGTCTAGACCTGCAGAAATTCTGGTTCTGCTGCAAACCACTGAACACACAACTAGCTGTACATATCTACCACACAAAAGCATGGGGAGTGAATGGATCGCTACGGATACAGTGCGAAATGTAAATGCAAACGTGAGTGTCTTAAGTTCCCGGTAGGCTCTACTGCCACATCGAATCACTAGGACGGGCCTTTCTCCACCGGCTTTGTAGTATTCTAGAATCGGCTTGAAAGTACTCTGTGGACGGCAATTTTGTATGCTAGAAGTAGAAATACACACGTGTAAAAACGCCGATTTGTTGGAGGGTTGTTGAACCACCCTACGCAGGCGCGTAATCTGACAACCCAGCAAGTCCTGTGAATGTGGTGTTGTGTCGAGAAAGAGACGATGTCACAAAGTCTGCGGTACGTAGCGAGATATTGTTGGCTCATGCTTGTCATTCTTCCAGTCGGTGCTTGTTAGCTGCGAGCGTTACCGCTGTCCAATGGCAAAAACATCTCATAATCCTTGTTTGACTAGTCCTGGGCTTTTCACCTGTTACGAAGCGTAGCTTCCATGTGGCAGATCATTGGATGTGGCTTTTGGGCGTAATGCAGCGCCAGAAAGAGGTACCGGTGCTCGTCAGACAGCTCAGGCGAGTCATCTACGCAGATCATCCCTGAAATGCCATGTCTCATTAACAACTGCTATAAGACCATCAGCCGTTTACGAAGTACAAAGCTATATTATGTCATTCTCATAGACGGGGCTTTTGTTTGGTTTATACTGGATTATTGTATCGTCCTTCCATCCTCCAAAATTGACTTTTCCCAAACGAAAGCCATCTAGCCGGGCAAAGATTTCCGCTAGAAGAACATCTACTGTAGCGCTTATAGAATTAGGAAACCTTTTACAGCTCGGTCTCGTTTCATGTTCTTTTCACGATGGCTTACCGCGGAAATTGGTGAGCTCGGCGCAATGCGAGCAACCGACGAGGGTCCAATAACTTCGGAAAGCGCTATTAACCAGAATCACCCCGTACGGACTTTCAGCGTGTCAGACGCCACTACGGACACAGGTGCAAAGTCTCTCACGGCGCTATGAGTACAAGATCATGTCTATCTAGCAGAAATCCTTATTAAGCGATCTATTGCTAACGTAATTCCCAGGTAAGCGGAACACCCCAACGAGCGGAACACTTCTGTATTCCATGTAAATCATCAATTTTTTATATTCAAATACCTCAACAACCAAAGAAGCTTACAGAATACATAAAACAAAATAAGTTACTTGATATATATCGTGGTATTAAATATAGTTAATTTCAATTGATTTTGGCTTGTAGTTGTTGAGATATTTGAATATAAAAAATTGATGATTTACATGGAATACAGAAGTGTTCCGCTCGTTAGGGTGTTCCGCTCACCTGGGAATTACGTTACCTGTTGTCAGACCGTTGCCCTTGAGTCCTAATCGTACCATCAACCACCTTCCCAACGACTTCTTGCTGTCCACCGTGTGATTGCGTTCAATTTCAAGTTCAGCGGTACAGGAAGCTATATAGAGGATATCCTTCGTGATTTGGACGAAGTAAATGTAAAAGCGGATGGGTCGACGAATCTGGGACAGATATTGAAACTGCAACCTGGCGGCTGGTTAGAAACGAGTGTTTGTTAATTCCGCTATTCTGTTCAAGTTGCTCCTTGTTATCCTGGAGTTGGCGGACAATGGATCTCAATTTTGATCTTCTGTTTCAATCTAATCCGTGTTAATTCGAGTGCGCTACCTTTCATGATACACCAGCTCCCTGAGTAGTACGTACCGATTTCCACGTCATACTCATCGAGTGTGATGCCAGCATTCCGGAAGTGCCCTTGGGCACTTTGCTTCCGTGCACCAACTGTGCTAATTCACCATTTTACGAATGTCGAAGGCTCAAAAATCTCTTCCTTCATCGACTCTCTCTTGACTGATGGCAGCACACTTTCAATCGCATACACGACTTCCCGCACATTCAGGTAGCAGTGTGCAATAACCTCAGATCCGGGGATTGATCCTCTTCACTTCCACAGGGCTAGCCATATTCTCCTGCGTCGTGGAAACCGCCCTTGTCTGCCAGGCGAGTTGCACAGTGGAATCTCGCGGAAGTGACGTGTGTTCCTGTTCACCAGTCTTGACTACGGTTGATGGGAACTTGTGACAATTACTAAGTACATAGACAAGTTTTCAGGCTTCCATCATTAGTCTCTCCCCGAAGCAGTGGGTGCTGTTCAGCTACCGCATGTAAGCGTCAGTGCTCAATTTAAGAGCGTGAAAATAGTCACACTTACCTAAAACAGCCTCTTCAGAACATTCCTCACCAAGACAAGCTGCGCGATCTATCATCCCGTCGCTCCAACACTACTGAGCCCCATTTTTCGTATCAGCTGACCCACAATTTCCCGAAGCTCAGTAAATCTCAGGCCAGCTGCGTTGATGTCGAACGGACTTATTTGGCGGCAGCGCTCAACGCCCACTAGAAACCGATTAGCCAAGGTAGCCTCAGTACCTCCCACGGGGATGACTTGCAGATTATTATAAGTCGACTCCCCCCTCCGGTGATTACAATATGTTCCCGGGCGAGATCATCTACCAGACCATTATCACAGAAATCCGATTTCCTTTCTATCTTAACGGTCATGGTAGTGGCGAAACTTCATGAGGGTTTTCGTTGCAGGAGCGTCATCCTAGGCCAAACCAAATCTACCCAGGCTGACAAATTTAAAGTGACATTGAGTGATTTGCGTGAGAATAGGGCGCATTCCAGTAGTCCGTACCGGTCAAAATGGACATGTTTCCCCAGAAGACAACCAGTATCGCCTTTATCGTCTAGTTTAAATTCCGGCCTGAACCGACATGATTGACAGGCTTTTAGTTGACTTTATGACATAACACAAGCAGAACTTTCAACAACGATCGCATGCTAAGCGTATTATTGCGTTTGATTATGGACGTGTTTGCTTAGTGCTTGTCCACATTCTTGCAGAATATTCCATTGCGTCTATTAAATTTTAACCCACAATCTTTCGCATTCTTCTTTTGGTGAAGCCAGCTCTATGAAAAGATGGGCCCCGTTAATCATTTTAAGAGGCTGGTAAGCCTGGGTTATTCCACAGACGGTGGCACGTAAAAGGTGGCGTATTATGACACGCAGTACTCCCGTTGCTAGCATAATAGCTCTGCCAGAACGTGGTGCATGAGGAGCTATTGTGTGACTTTTGTTCTTTGTTTGGATACCACGTGGAATATTTAATGGTCACAGAGATGTCTAGTTGTTCCTGTCCTTCCAGTGTGCGGTTGAGCCGGAAACTGTGGGCAATGAAGATGTTTGATATGTTTCGTGTAAAGCTGGCGTCATCAAAATTGGTCCAGGCGGGGCTGCCTTCACAATTTGGGCCGACCCAGGCAAGAAGTTCCAGTGGTGCGTACAGTCTCTAGAAATCATCAGCTTGCTATTTGCCACTGTACGAGAAGTCATAATACTCAAGAACATACGCCAGCGGAGGATCGCACGGCCTGGTCAGATGACGCGGCTGCTGTTAAACCAGAACCGAGGACAAAGACAATCAAAGCTCGAGAAGGAGCGAACATTCTCATCGCGGTTGCCACTGTCGCGGAGGCCAAGCTTTGCTATACACGGCAGTGAAGTACTTATATGGGGTGTAGTTGGTATGGTGCTTGGGCCCACGCAAGCCCTATGCCAGTGCCTATCGGCGATATATTCTTTTGACATTCCAAACTTGAGGGCCAAAATATCATATCATGGTAGTTCCCGGCATCCAGCCATACCAATGTAAACTCAGGAGGTCAATTATTACTATTATCTACGGCGCCAAAGTTATAGACCGCTTCAAAAGATTTCTCCTGCATGCCCCGCATGCAAAAAAGATCCAGGACAGATCCGACTCACAATGGTAGGTTCCCCTGATGAGGCTCTACCGTACTTTTGCCCGCCAGTTTTTCTTGCTAGCATTCAACCGGTTTGTTCTGCTCTTTGATCCTACTGCCCAGCAAACCGGAGCAAGCAGACTAATGCGGTAATGCCCAAGAGGGCAGAAATCCCTCTGCCCTGTGAGGCCGTCTCCGTGAATAGATGAGATCTGATAGGCCATAGCGAAGATGGAATCAAGGCTTTAGATTCTTAGTTTTGCTTTTGCGACAGCACATAAGCATTGGCCGTACGAAAGGTTGCTCACCCTTCGTATGGTTCGCTTTCGGTTTGCTTGTTCGAAAGATGATCCACGACCGCATTATTTGCACCTTTAACCTGTCCGGGTGGCATTGCCATTCCCGAGATTTAATCGCCGACGGTGTCCAGGAGGCTATGACTATGGCTACATCATCACCAATTAGTCAAAGTCAGGTTTTCCCACGCTCATATCGATCAAGGCGACGGAGATCAAACTTGTTAGTGGATTTTTTTTCAACCGCGAGCCGCGGGAAAAAATAATAGTATTCTGTTTGCATAAGGAACTACATGTTTCTAAGCATGTCTAGTTCAAAGAATTTAGTGACACAAATCCGCAAAGCCAGCATGTAGTGGGCATTGCCGCAATTACTGGCATATTAAAGATACAGTTGGTCCCAAAGTATTCCTGATGCAAACACCATCTGGCCAGGTGCGTGATACATTGTAGTAGGGGTTGATCTCTTGCTGAACTGTCCTCGGCAGAAGGTCCGGGGCAAGTATTGATATCGACCCCGGAGCTCAGCAACTTCTCAATGAGGTCGAGCGCTGTGTGCCGAATGGCCCAGTGCAGAGAGGGGACTCCCTGCCGAGCAATGTCTTCCAGGCATAATTCCCAATTCAACTTGTTAGACAGGGTCAGATTAAGTTGGAGGACGGATAGGGATTCACGATTATCGTGATTCGCTGCACACAAGGCAAGGCGCAAGATAAATAAAATGAGGTGTGGTGGTACTCCATCCTTGCCGAACTGGGTTGCAGAATTGATCACGGCTTTTGTGGGTGCCATTGTGAGGAGGGAAAAGCTAGAGTGGAATGGAAATATATTGAATTTGATAACTCGGTGAGCGTGATTGTGTGAGGGAGTTATGGCAGCGTCACACCCTTTATGTGCTTCGAGGGCACAGATATACGAAGCAATCCATACAAGCCATGACGTGTCCTGGCAGCGTCCGAATGAAGGGACCTAGTTAAACTGCAAAAGCGTTATAGACTCTTCCGAGCTCCGGCGTTCCCAGGGATCCATATATCTCTCCCCAGAGCTAGCCTACGGGCTCACCGGAGCGCGCTTCACTCCTTTTATTCGCCAGCGTCTTCCGATTTTTCAGGATTCTCATCCCATAGGACATTTAAATTGAGTCATACTGGCCCAATGAGGGGGCTGTGGCTCGCTACAGCTACTTCTACTGGCATCTCCATCCACGCCAAATCCAGCAATGACAATGCTTACACGACTCCCTCTTGAACTTCGCTGCATGGTTGGCGAGCTGCTCGACGAAAGGACCTTTTATGCGTTATGTCTCACCTGTCACGACATGCAATCAACATTTGCCAAGGGACTTCTCAAACAGAATATTGCAATAAACAACAGCTCCGGGCTTCATTGGGCAGTGCAGCATGACAGGCAGGATATTGCCAAAACTTTCTTATCCTACGGTGCCAATGTCAATTCCATTGAAAATGGGAAGTCGCTCCTCTGGTGCGCTGTGCGGTGCCAATCCATGGACACAATTGAGCTACTGCTGAACAACCACGGTATTGACATCAACGGGTGCGACGATCAAGGCCGGAGTATCCTATGGTATGCGTTGTCCATCAACAGTGATGAAGTATTCATCAGGTATATGTTGGACAAGATTGGATATGTCCATTGCTGTCGGCCTACGGCAGCTTTCCGGTTTCTCGGTCTCTCCTTACTCAGGCTTGCCATTACCAGAGGTGCCGAATGTGTGGTCAAAAGACTGTTGCAACAGGAGGTGGAGCCAGATGAGAGACACTTCTTCCTTGCCGTCACCAACGACAGAACAAGCATTGCACAGATGTTCCTAAGGCGGGGCGTTGATATTAATGCCGTGGATGTGGATGAAAATCAATCAACCGCCCTTCATCACGCTGCTCGCTTAGGCAATACCGTGATGATGGGCTTCTTGCTTCAGCAGCGCGGAGTTTGTGTGAACTCCCGGGACGGCCAGCAAAAAACCCCGCTGCATGTAGCAATCCAATACGGCAAGCACGCGTGCATTGATATCTTGCTGTGCGTCCCAGAAATCGATATTGATGCCCAGGACTCTCACGGTCGCACTCCGTTTTGGTGGGTGACATTTGTTGGATCCAATAGATGGTTAGGCCGACTACTTGATCGAAATGCGAACTACAACATGCCAGACCACAGGGGCAGCGCACCTCTCCATAACCTTGCTGATTTTGGTGAAACTAGCCTAATCCGGTTGCTTCTAAATCAAGTCGACGTCGAGTTGAATGCCGTCGATCTAGATGGCTATACGCCTCTAGCACGCGCCGTGCAACATGCACGCATGCCTGTGGCACAGCTTCTTCTTGAGCAGCCAGGAATTAGAGTGAATGCCGAATCTGAACACGAGGCCACGCCACTGTGGGTTGCATGTCGTTCGGGTAGAAAGAATATGGTGCAGGTATTGCTTGGGCACGAGCACATTGATGTCAATCAAATAAACGTCTCCGGGACATCGCCATTGCACGTATCGGTCATCTTTGGCCATTTGGATGTGCTTAACCTTCTGCTGATGCAAAGTGAGAAACTTCATCTCGGTGTCCGAGATAAGTGGGGCTGGACGCCCCTCATGCACGCTTCTTCTGGAAACCATCCTCAGATGGTAAACATGCTGCTGGATATCCAGGGTACCGATGTCAACGCGGTCGACGGTGACGGGCGGACGGCGTACTGGTGGGCTGCTGCGGGAGGGCATCACGAAATCGTCCAGGCTTTGCGCCCTGTTACCAACACGCGGCTCAAAGATAAGTTTGGGAAAACCGCATATGCTGCTGCTCGGGAGAGAGGAAATGGATCTGTGCTGTGTTTCCTGAGACCTTCATAGGCTATACTATGTTTCTTCCAGCCAAGTCGGGCGATCATGATATTAGGCATCACCTTGAACATATATCGTATAGATGCACACCTACCTGTGACATCACGCTTTACTTCGAAACACCGATTGCGCTGCATATCACAACGGCCACCCCAGACGTAGCAAACCTTTGCTTGTCCATGATGGCTATAGCAGGAGATCCAAGTAGAAGAGCTTCTAAATCCGGGTTGTTCTTTGGGCGAGAGCAATCCGGCCACTGGCTGTTGCCCGTCTTCCGGCCTTGCCTAACCACCGTTTGCACACAACTTGCGCAATTTAGAATAGCTGAGCAATCCACGGGCCAACGGACCAAATGATCGCCGGGTGGAATTTCAGATTCGACGCGGTGCCTTCGCCGAGTGGCTGCAGCTGCTGGAGGCAGGTGAAGCCCGACATGGAGAAAAGACCAACCCAGCCGTGAAGCTGATCCATCATTACCAGTGGCCAGGGGGCCGCCCCCGGGCTCGCCAAGACCTTCACGTTCCAGAATGCCCGACGCGACAGCGAGACCTGGAAGGCGGTGTCCTCTGCCGCTATGCCCGGGATTGGCTGAATCGCTGGGAGAGGCCTGGCTCTGCGCGACCGGGCGAGGCCCCGAGTCTACCGACCGCCAGCTGATCGCGTCCGATGCGCATGATCATACTCACCAATTCCATGCCTACTTTCTCGCGATCCTATTCAGCTCCCAGGAGAACCCGTTTCTAGTGTCCATTCCCAAGATGTCCCCATTTTGCAGACCATTCCAGTATGATATTTAGCTTATAGTGTTTTTCATATCTTTCCCAGATCTTTCAATGTTCCTTGATCGGTATGACTAAGCATGGCATCAACCCAATGGGCTAACTATATATAACCTTCCGGACGGCGGGACTGTGCAGCACGATCATGAGCTGCGTTTAGGGGCGGGAAATGTATCAGAATCATTCATTTTCGTGGTATTTGGTTGACCAAGAATCCCATGCTATCGGTCGCTTTGTAGTGAATTTATCTGTTGCGATTGTTGTGTTTGATCGTAGATCTCCTGATGCCGTGTTGGTGATATATATTCAACAACCCAATTCTCCACGTAACGGTTAACAAACGCGAAGAAACCGATCAACAGGTAATAACAAAGAAAAACCTGTAAATTAGAGTATTCACAGTGACTATGCCTCATTTTTCGATTTTGTTAACCACGAATCTCTTACATTACATAGCGAAACAACGAGCATCAATCGAGTAATATACGTTTCTACAAAGGGTTCATGTTCCAGATGGCCAAGCCGAACCCGAGGTTGAACCCCTGAACACCCCCAGTAAGGCCTAGCGTTGTAACTAAACACCGGCAGGGCCTTGTCCCACATTCCGAGGAAAACCGGGGCAATTTCTTTCATGCTGACCTAAGCTCATGCCGGTTGCCCATTTGCCGAAGCCTCACTCCTTGCCCGAGTATTCTCAACATGAGTCCGCACTTTCTCAATCGAATGCCTGCACAATGTTCCACTATTCAAACAGAAGGAAACCATGGATACTATCTGGTCATGGATGAGATTACAGTGTAACCCATGACTTCGGTAGAACTCGACCGTTCGTGGATTAAGCAGCGAGGCAGTGAATTGCCCGTCTGACGACAAGAATCTCAGGTTGGTCAGGTTGGTCAAACAGTTATCCACCCAAGCTTCCTGTCCCAGCTGGTTTAGTCGGTCATCCCGTATCCTCCCTGGCCTATCCCACCTCGAGCGCGGGCCACGCAATCATTTGACTGCCCGCGCCGTTGGCCAATTTGCAATTCCCAGGACTGCACTCCGTGACGTGCGGCCCCAAGAACCCGTGACCAGGTAGCCTAGCAGGAGATGCTCCTTACCGTCGGTGTTTAGTAGAGATAAAATTCATCTCACCCTAAAGCAAGCCGAGTATTTGGGCATGACTTGGTATGATGGGAATTGATCTACAGTCATACTTTATACAGAAGAGCACCTTAACCGAATGGTGAAGTCTGTAGTTCCCATATGTAGGCAGATATCGTTAAATCTGACGCCTGCATTTGCCCAGTCGAACAATGGGCCAGGTGCAAGGAATCAGCCCATCTGCCGAGCGACTTGTCGATAAATATGATACCTAGCTGCTGCAGACATGGCTGTCACATCTCTATTCATTGGATTATATACAACCAACCCCCCCTACTCCTGTTTCAGCATTATTTCGACAGTGACCGATTTTCCAACCCAGAATGGCTCGACGCACGATTGTTTGCCGGTTCAGTCAAGCGACACGCCATCAGTCTCTGCACCGCGCGGCGCAGCCAGCGGCTCTATTCCAGGACACGAGTCTGGCTCATGCGTCGCCGTTATTGGTAAGTCTTTCCATGTGAGCTCGAGGTATTTGACGTTAATGGTTCAGCTCCACCCCAAGGGCCCTACGGTCAGTCCCTCGCAGCGACTCCTCCAGTCGTTGCTTGATGGGTATAGACCCCGGTTTCGAGCACACCGTCTGGGGCGAGAAGCGGAGGCGAACTTGCGGTTGGCGCCCCAGCAGCAAATGTGTTACTACAACGGCAAGCTGTTCGGCGGTTACCTAACCCTGCTGCTGGATCAGATCCTGGCGGACTGCTGTCGACCGCCAGACCAGCATCAATCAGCCGTCACCGCCTACCTCAACACTTCTTTCAAGCAATCGGTCCCGCCGCATGTTCCGATCCGCTTGCGCGCCTGGCCGCACAAGGTGGAGGGCCGCAAGATCTACCTTCACGGTGCTGTCGAAATTCCCCGCGACGATGGACAGGGGATGTCTCCAGCCATCCTCGCGGAAGCCCTGTTTGTACAGCCCAAGTCGTAGGGCTGGGGTTCGAAGGATGGCGGCTGGCTACGGTCGAAGAGTTCCTAGGCGCTCTCTCCGCGGCAGCTGATCCCCCCAGGCTTACAGGTGCTGCATGTTTGATAGATGGGGAGATAGCGGACAAATTGTCGCAGAACTAGATAATTTGAACCAATTTGAACCATAGACGAGGAAAGGAGCGCGTAACATTAACATAATCGATGTGACTGAAGGCTCAGGGACGATATCCTCTGTCAAAATCCCTATCTAACCGTATCCTGGTATCAAGGCACATATCTCTCAGGGGGTCGCCGTGCCCGCGTGGAACGCTCAGACGTCTGCTGCAACGGAGTAGATTGCACGGACTGGACCTGCGATGGGCTTGGCGGCTTTGATGGCACATCCGGCGTGATCATTGTTCTGGGCGTGTTCTCGTGGCTTTGGCTTCCCGGGTTTTGTTTGGTTTGATTCTGATCACCCTGGTCTTGGCTGGCGTGGTTCTGGCTGCCCGGGTTCCCACTGCCCGGGTTCTGACTGGCCTGGCCTGGCCTACTGGGATCGCTTGGAGAGGTCCTGCTGCTCTGGGTTTGTGCGCCTTGAAACTGATCAACTTGGCTGAGGCCACCTGATTCTTCCCACCTTTGCATGTTGTTGGCTGAGTGGCTAACCTCGACCCCGCGGTTTACGCTCGACTCTCCCGGCTCTGGTGACTCCGTCAAACCCGGAGGAGTTCTCTCTAGGTCTCCCAGGTCATCGTCACACTGGCCAACCTCTGAAATGTCCCGATATCGCTTCACCTGAAGGACACCAACTTTGTAGAATTTCATGTCTGTTCGTTCGTTCGAGGTCTTTGACTGGCTGCTGAGTGTTTTGTAATTCGTTCGACTGATCCACGTGCGCTCCAACCCATCAGTCCATTCGACCAGAACAGTACTGAAAGGGTACCTGTACTTCGCGTCTCGTCTCTTGTTTTCGGGATTAAGCTCTTCCACCGAATCCAGGATATCGTCGATGCTCCGTATCTTCCGTTTCGGTTCCCAGGCAACGTTTAGGATCCTCCCTATCTTTCCCTTGTGGATATAGTCCCCATCTTCATTGGTCTCCAGGGCCTTCTTGTGGGGATTCCCGCGAATGTTTGTAAGGCTACCGACAGTGCATTCTGCTTGGGCATATTCCCAGACGGTTATCGCGCAGCTCTTGTACCCGTACGCGTTGAGATAGATAGAACCTTTACTGGCCTGGTTCATGGCTAGTGTCATCCCGCCGTCAAGGTCGCGTCCTTCCTCATCGTCGCCCGTCAACTCGTTCCTGTCGATTGGACGTATATCCGCATAGTCGGTGGGTATACTGTCTTCCTTGCGGTCATCCACTGGAACTTGATCTTCTCGGGTTTGTGCGAAATCTGGTGGGTCCGATCCCAACCCATGATCCACATCCATTTCGGATCCATGCTGTTCTTCCTTCTCGGTAATTTTATTGATCTGATCGAGCAAGGCTTTTGGCTGCTTTTCATTCTCGGCCTGATTGATAAAATCTGGATTCTGAAGACTTTGCTTGACTTCGCGGACTTGATCTTCCAGAGCCTCCTTATTCGCTTTGTTGGCAGTTGACTGCGCATGCGGATCATTTAACCGCCTTTGCAGTGCCTCCGCATCCCTCTCTCGGCCTCTAGTCGTCATACCGCGCGACTCCTGATTGACTCTGGCTTGTGTTTTCTTTTTCCTTTTCCTTTTCTTTTTTGGCGTGGCGCCTTTAAGAGCTCTTACTGACTGTTGTGCCGGAACTTGGTTGAATTGTGAGCTTGCCAGCCTACTTGAATTCGGGGGTAACCCGCTTGGTCTTTATATAACTCAGTGATGGTGGATATTCTAACCACTACCTGGCCTAGAGACATCACCTTCAGATTTTGAGGACTTGTTGGCTGCATTCTATTGCAGAGGGGATATAATCATATAATCCCTTCTTTCTTTATTTCTTTATTCCTTTCTATTCTTTTTCTTTTCTTTTCTTTCCTTTTCCTTTTTTTTGATGACTGGCTGAGAGTGACGGCACATTACGGGGGTTCCGGAACAGGCTTCTACGGCTACACCGCATATTTCTGGTCCAAATTATGGCAAAGGATACGATTTAACTTATCATCAAGTATGAGAGTTCATAAGCATCAGCCATTCCTCAAGAACCAGAGGCAGGTTGGTTGGCCCTTTTTGAAACGCCTTGACCACGTAGTCTACATGTTGATGACCATTTACATAACTATCCGTCAATGACCAGTACGAGCACTCCTAATATTGATTAGTCCAGAGGTGATCGACCGGCCCAAAAGGTCCTATAAGGAATGCTATATCAAGGATCTTTACTGGCAATAATGAAGGGATCGGGGAAGAGTATTCATTCATCCGCAGAAGGTTCTATCGTGGATTGTTCCTTTACCCCACCATATTATCCACCACATACAGCCAACTGCCGTCGTTGTGAAGTACCAACAGTGTTTTATTTGCATCCGTTCAATTATGTCCTTGGCGGTTCTTCCGCCAAAACTGGTGCTGCCCGTTGCCTCTGCGCTCCGTGACATTTGCGTCAATGAGGGCAAACAGAGGTCTTCACCCTGAAGACCAGCTGTACCAGTACAATGTAGACAATGGAAACAGCCTTGGTCTGCTACGGGCAGCAAGTAAAGGGGGTGTGCCCGCAACATACTTTTTTTTCTTGACTCGGCACGCGTCGACCTACACGCCCAAGATGAAGCCGGACAGACCACCCTCCACATCGCCGCCCAAAAAATAACACCTTCTGCAGTAGAATGATTCTTTTATGTGACGGCCACGCTAACACCAGTGCGCTGAACTCTGAGGGGCAAGCACCTCTCTTTCACGCGGCAAAAGCGGGCAATGAGGACGCCACAGGTCTGCTTCAAATGCGACTAGATATTGAGGTAAACGCCTTGGATGGGAATGTTTTGACCTCAGCCCGTCGGGGCCATATTGCTGTTGCCAACAGGCTCCTCCAGTACCCAATCATCATTGCAGTGGATAACGGTCATCGCAGAATCTTGCAGGCCCTATGCGCATTAGGCAACATCGATCACCATGCCACGGATGCGGATGGGCGGTCCGCCCTGGGATATGCCGTGCACAGACGAAATTGCGAGGCTGTTCGGCTTCTTATCGAAGCTGGTGTGGATACGGGCAGAGAGGATGTTGCCGCCATCACGCATCTTCACATGGTCATAGTCCAGAGATTTAAGATATGGTAAAAGTGCTCCTAAGTGTCTCTACACAACATGGAGAGCTATGTTTTGCTGCATCTACCGGTCGGGCTAATATCGTTCAATTACTGCCGGATCATGGCGCTGATCTCTACGAGCAAACGGATTACGGGCGGACCCCATTGGTCCGCGCGAGGGAAAAAGGGCATGCTGATGTAGTGAGAATTCTGCTCAAAAATTGAGCTATCTAGACTACTCTACACATGTCTTCAGTCAAACTCCAATTTTCCAGTGATTTGATCCGGCGGAAGATAGGAATGCCGGGAAATGGAGCCACATCCCTACGGATCTACGGGACCCCCTGCGGTAGGAAAGCCCGACGGGCATGGCCATTTTACGAGCGAATAGTTATTTCGGGAAGTGTTGAGTTGGACGCTAACTTCTCATCACCTGTGGATTCGAGTTCCCCTGCCTTACCACAATAATATCCCCCCAAATCAACCCCAGGTCTCACTTAGATTTAGAATTCTCCAATCAACATATTCCTTGCGCTCAGTCGCGCACTGCCGCTCTGGCGGAGGATGCCATCAATGATTTCACCGTATCTCTTCTTTTCCGCCCGAGAAAAACCAAATGCCCCTCTAGGTTCATTTAGTGTAACTTTTGTTCGGCCGTTCAGCAGCGCTTTAGTAACGTCCAGATGACCGGATTGGAGGGCGATTAATAGCGGCGACTCATTGAACATTGAGGTCCGATTCCAGTCTGTCGTGGGAAGGGCAAGGAGCCTTCGAACGACCCCCACATGGCCGTAGCGTGCGGCAGCCCAGAGTGGAGAGCGGCCTGACCTATTAAATGCATTCACGTTAATATCCCCGTGGGATAACAGCATATCCACGATCGTGGCGTCTCCCTTCTCGGCCGCCAACCAGAGTGGTGTTTGCCGTTGTTCATTCTCTATATTCGGATCCAGTCCCTCTTTCTGGATGAACAAGTTTATCAGGGGTGCAGCATTTTCTTCCCAACGGACAAGGTGATGGAGAGAGGCAGAGGACTCGACGGGTTCGCCTGCTGATTCAGATAGGTGGCTACGTGCATTCACGTCGATTCTATCCACCGCTAGTAGTCGCTCCGCCACCGCCTTATGTTGGAAATAGGTCGCCCACCACAGGGGCGTCCTCCTGTCTCTATCCATAACATTCACATTGACGTGCTTGTCATTGAGTAGCAAGTTGACCACAGAAAGATGGCCGGCCCTTGCGGCTTCGTGTAGCGCGGTCGATCGAAACCGGTGAACCGGTGATCGCAAGACCACAGATCTAGGTTGTCCTGCATAAGTAGCAGTTCCACAGCTCTAGAATTGCCGTTCTGTGCTGCCAGGGATACGGTTGACCATCCTTCGTCGTCCTTGACGTTTATATCAGCACCGTAACCTAACAGCGCCTGAATGACCGTAATCTCGTCTTTGCTTGCAGCCCAAAGCAATGCCGAACTGCCTTGTTGTTGAATGTTGAACCGGTAAAGCACGCCGAGTGTAATCCGCAAAAGTGTCTTGCTAGTGCGGCACAGTGACAGAAGGTCCGTAGAACCATCGACCTCGTCTGTAATAGACAGAAGAACATCTTCCGGTAGTTCGAATAGATGCATATCTGTTGGAGGTTTCAGAGTTCGGCGCGTGAGATGTATGTTAAACTGAGATTTTATGTCCTGTGGGAAACTGAGGCCTTGGTAGTTCAGAGTCAAAGTAAAGCAAATCCATAGTCATCACTGGCGGGATCAATGGGTAGTTTTATATGAAATTCTTCAACATGACATGGGCGCTGTGGTTTGGTGTACAGGTACGCTCTCAGTGACTTGTGCATTTACCATAAGGATGGTTGCTAGCTAAGCTCCGCTCCTGCAATATCCACTCTGATTCTGCAGAGCACTGAACATCTGCGGAGCTTTTCGATGACCTCTGAGAGCTGCTTGTCACGTTCCTCCGAGAGCTTGCCACATTCCTACGAGGGGCGTGCGGTTTTCCCATGATATATATATTCCCGAGCGAAGTAGGAAGAATCCTATAACAGGCCGCTTTATCCTACGAAAACTGGAGAGCTCCGGCATACAGTCGGGCAACAGAAAATGCCCGACCTACAGTACCCTGAAAATAAAAGTAGATTCAACAGTTTGCAAGATGCGCCAGCCATGCTCATCCAGGAAGACATAAAGTCACACGGCCGGCCCTGACAATTTGGATTCATCTCTACATCGATTTTGCCCTGAGGTACAACAGAGCAGACCGAATTAATCACTCAAACACCGGCCATTGCCATCTTATCACAATGTCTCCTAATACAGCTTGCGAAGGCGATCCCAGCTGCCAGGCGAAATTGATGCTTACAGTCTGTCACCCCCTGGTACACAGTCCTCTACAAAAAGGGTTTACCACTCCCTTCGAACCTGACGATTCGGAGGACAAGGTTTATCCTTCTAGTTCTATGGTAGGTCCAACTGATTTTCTCCTTCATTTAATATTAGTTTCAGGGATTTGAGATTCTGAAGAGCCAAGGTGGAATAAGGTATGCGCGAAATGTTCTCGATGAAAGATTAGGCAGACGGACTGTCCCAGGACCCTAGGATATAGGCCATTGATAACGTCCAGGCAACTCGCTAATCCGAATGGCTGTCAGTGCTCCGGTGAGTTACCCTGTGACGGGTGTCACGGAAACAATGTAAATTGTGCTCCCCAACTCGAGTGTTGGGTGCCCAATCATCCGGCTACTGAAGTAGCAGAGGAGCTCCAATGCAGTTCGCTCCTCCAATCCATGGCAGAGTCGCATATATACATGTATCAAACCATGGATAATGTTGGCTTCATAGCCCAGGATAAGGTCCGAGATCGCACTCCAGGCGTGAGCCTTTCTACTGATGGGCACACGGTAGAGGAAGAATTATCCGGGTAGCATATTGGGGAAGATGAGATGTCAGCTGTTCAGGGTCTGATAGACTTGACGGAAGGTCCACGCCTGGGGGAAGCAGCCCCGCGGTCAGATGTTTCGGTAGGAGAGCCGGACGTGCTCTATCTCGAACCAGAGGCACAGCCTGAAATGGCCGATATCGCACCATCGCCACTGTTCTTTCGGGACCCCAATGCGTTGAGACTCTGAAGCCCGATGGAAAGATATCGGACTTTTGCTCTCAAACAATAGATCCGTGCTGCCTATCGCTTTCCGCCCACCGAGATGCGGACGTTCCTCTTTCGACTAGCTCCTCCCCTTTGCCACAACATGAGCGATTAGCTTCTCGCCAGAGGAACCCAAAGTTTCAACGAAATGGGGTATGTCAGAGCATAGCCACATACAACACTACCCCGCATTATCCACTCCTACGATATGATCGTGGATCAAGGATGGTGGATTGTCCGCCATTCGTTGCAAACGCCGATCCAAATGTGGTGCTGTCACTGCCAGCATGGCCGTTGATGGTCCAAGAGAA